GGGTGAGACGTTGTTGAAACAAAAAAAGTTATGCATTCCATCACGTACATAAACAGTATCGTAATTCGCCAAGTGCAAATCAGCAAATTCGTAAAATTTTTGTTTATTTTGAACAATCCGGATAATAAAGGTCCGGATAATCGAGGTTCTACTGTATATAGATAAAAAATCTTGTAATGTTAATAAAACTATAAATTATCATTTTTATATCCCAGATTATATGAAAAAGAATTCTTATCTTACGGAATTAAAAAATATATATACACAAATATCTGATGATCATAATAAAAATATTAAACTTAAAGAATTAGAAATAAAATATATAATGAATGATTACCCAAATTTTATTCTTACTAAGTGGAAAACATGTTACTTAAAAAACAGATATAATACAAAGTTTAAAAATGAAAAAACATGTAAAAGATTTCCGTATATTAAAAATATTTTTGATCATTGTAGTAATAGCCTTAAAAAATTATAACATTTGCTTGGCCCCATCTTTGACCAATAAAATTTCACAGAATACACACAGATATCTTAATAAGAGTACTAATAATAATATAGATTGCCTAAAAAAGGCTGGAGTTGTATACAGATTGGAATGTGATTGTCTGAATCCGTATATGTACATAGGTGAAATAGGGCGCTTGTTAGAAGTTAGACTAAAAGAACATGAAGCGGCCATTAAATTGAAGTACAATAATTCCCCGTGGTATGACCATACAAGTAATAATAATTGTAAAATTAACCGTAATATAAAAATTTTGCATTTTGAAATTATCATCATTGCATTACCATTGATATGAATTGATAGATGGTGCTAAAACAAATTAAATGTTATGATTATGTTTAAACATGGTATAATTATTTGTAAAAAATTTTGTTCTAGTAATTATGATACTAATATATTTTTAATAATATTGTAAGTGTATCAAAACCTCTACATATGAATGTCAATTTTTATTATATTAACATTTTTACTGCATCTGTTATGTATTCATGTAAAAAATTAAAATGATTGTGAGTATAATGGAAGTTATTGTTTGATGGTTGTTTTTTATTTTTTGGCTGTATATTAATACAGAGTTTACAATTTTATGTTTGGTTACAGGTTAGGGATGAGGAAGGTTTGTCCTCCCACCCCCTATTTTAAGCAAAAAAATTTTGTAATTTACATAATGATAAAATGTGTTTTTATATTTTAATTTTGTTTTCTATGGTATATCATGGTCATGTTCTAATATCAGTTTTTCTTGTTTATTTGAACTAGCACTGAGGAGGGGTTGGAGTACATTATACTAACCCAAAATACATATGTAGTTCAATTGTAAATAAAAAACAATTTGCTAACCCGAAATTGCTGTGAGATATGTCTACCAAAGTGTGGTTTTTTTTTTTGGATTACAGAGACAGAATTACANTATATATTTTTAAATCCTTTATAATTTTAATTATTTAATTGCTCCTTCCTCTCTTCCTTGGCGTGTTGTGAAATTTCTGATAGTTGGATAATAAACCGTTTTATTGTAATTTGTCTTTTTAAATTATTAGATGATATTAAAATTTGGAAAAGGGGATCCCTAGATTGGTAAAATAAGCGAATTTCCTTCTACAACTTCGGTTGTTGTTCGGTATACAGCTAAGGTTTTAACGAAGTTCAAGCGAATACATAGTTAGCAAAAAAAATTTGAAATAAAGTGATTAAACAAAAATTATTACAAATATCGTAAATAACAGTTCATAAATGCATATATAGAAATATTTTTTGAAGGGAGAAATGGATAATTTTTAATTTATTTAACTTAAAATATATACTCGTTGACTCAAATTAGTAGCTTGCCCCTGTACATCATACTTTTCCTTTAACAATAGAGTCATGCTGGTCATCTATCTCAATGTTCCACAACCTTCTTCTACTCGCAGTACACATATGACTCGACATGACTCAACACGGCACATCAAAATGTTATTCCCCTCAAAAATGTATGATATGATACTACAGTAGAGCATCAATTATCCGAATCAATTGGGAATGGGGTTGTTCGGAAAATCGATATTTCGGATAACCGATTATGTACGAAAAAATATATTAATTTATCCCATGTTGAAAGTTTTCTCCGTTGTGTGTCGTTTCGCGTTGAATTTTCGTCAATGTTAAGCCTAACAAAGACTATTGTNAGACCTTATCTACAAATTTGATATCCATCTAGCAGTTCACCTCCTCTCCACGTCCCCATACATCCCGTTAATAACCACGGATTCTTTTACACAATTGGACAGAAAGGATGATAAAAAGGGTGATTTTCCTGCCATTTGAGGCAGTCAACAGAAATATGACATTGCCATAGGAGACAGACAGTCTACAGAAGAACAGATTTGCCACAAAAACAATGGCAGTCCATGAGAATTTGGAAAGTGCCATAAGAATCTCTCGTCCACAGATTTAACTTGTGCGCCATAAGTTCCCACCTAGAACTTCATCCTTCTCTCGAACTTCCACCACAGTCATCCCATCTTATCAACAATTCGTCACCGATCAGAAGATATAGTTCAAAATCTACAGTTGAGGTAGTACATCTTAATACTTGTAAACTCTCTCTCTCTCACGAATAAGATAGGGATTAATAATCTCTCCATAGCTGTATTTTATTTGTTATTTCTTATTAAATAAAGTTTTGTCACTTTATCATGGCCTCGTTCTTGAACTCATTTCTGTGCTGAAATCCTATCACTTGCCTACTTGCCCTCCCCCTTGGAAGAGTTATCTAAATTACACAGAAGCGTGACTAATGCTAAATTTTAGGTTGATGTCAGGAGCCTGACAAGACCAAGATTCTACAATGTTGTAGTCTACCTTAATTTTAATATAATCTCCATCCTACAACCTTGCAGGTGGATCTTCCAGATCTGTAGCCGAATAAGTGGTAGAGAGAATTACACTTATCTACCCCCAGTTCCTCACAACTCCATAAATTATACAATCTTGGCCTTGACCCTGAAAATTGTTAATATGAATTTTCGATAAAGTGAACTAACTACTATTCCCCTAGCAATTCATATTAATGCAAGTTGACTGTATAAAGTTACATCATCTGAATGAGTTTATCTTATTAATAAATTTCTCTCTAAAACATTTAGTTACATTGTTAAAAACGAGTTTGATTGTAACTAATTTATTTTAATAAGTATTCTTCCAATAATATATTTAAATACAGGTAAATCTTTGTATTTGCAAGATTTAGGATCCTTGGAAATCTCACAAATTCCAATTAATAAGGCTAATGAGAAAACAGAGTTAGGTTTCTACAGATTGAGCTGATATGGCTGAGATGAAGCCTGTTGCTATCCAAGAAATATTTAAAATTTTTCAAATGATTTAATAAGCAAATAATAATAACTAACATATACTTTGTTCATATGTTTAATTATATTAAAAATATTAGTCTTGCATTCTAAGAGAGTTATAGAGAAATTAATGTTGCTTAAAGGACATTTTTATTCATGTCTTTTAAGACTTCAACTTATCAAGAAGTTCTACATTCTTCTAATGACTTAAAACTGTTTGTTATGTTTTACCATATTTTCAAGAGCAACACCAATTATTTTATAAGTTATAATAAAATACAGAAAAACTGTGAACAAATTTTCACTTGCTGTTTATGAGATTGTAGAACTGGTGTACACACAAAAATGAAGTAGAGGCAGATGCATAGTCTTCTATAAGACTTGTTTTGATCTCCTAATTCAAACTAAAAAAAATTTATAAAAATACTTCCATCATTATAGGGTAGCTCTATTCTTATGAGTTTTAACTCTATAATCCTATATTATCAGATGTAGTATTTCAAACAGCCAAACAAATATCCATTGGTTTAACGTACAATTTAGTAATCAATTTAAAAGAGAATGTAGAAGAAAAAATTGATTAATANTTATACTTCAGAAGTTAATTTAGTATCAAAAACGTAAAATATTTGAGTAGCCCAAGACATAGCCAAAGATTGCAGCGTCACAGCACTGGCAAAAATTTAAATTTGCCGACTGGAATTCTTTCGGATAATTGACTTTCGGATAATAGACACACTACTGTATTAATAGAATTTTGTAATGCCATAAACCTATTATTATTATTATTATGTTGAGTTTTGTGAGTTACACTCGGTTTACACCAATTTACTATGCCAGACCAGAGTCAAGGCATAGTAACTGCAAAAACAAGACAAAAATTAAATAAGTAAGTCAGTGTTTATCTGTTTTCAGGAATTTCCTAACAATATGACAGGTATTCGATATACTGGCCTTCTGTAGTGTAATGTATGTGTTTCTATTCAATTTTAATGTTCCCAGGCTTTTGTGTAGCATGTGTGGTATGACACCTGTACAGGAGAGAACAACAGGTACAATAAGCACCCTATCCATCCTCCAAAGATGCCTTATTTCCTGGGAGAGTTCTGTGTACTTGCTGATTTTTTCAGTGCATGTGTTTTGTATATTGTGAGTGTTTGGAACAGATATGTCTATAACTTATGTGATTTTATTGTGTTTGTCAATGAGTGTGATGTCTGGTCTGTTGTGATAAATTGTTTTATCTGTGATTATGGCTGTTGTAGTACATTTTGTGTGTTGTTTTCCAATACTGTCTGTTGAACATATTTGTAGTATGATTCATGGATGTCTAATAATTTGTGTTTCTTTGCAAACTCTTGATGTATTTGCTACTTAATTATGTTATGTAAATAATCTGTCTGTGCTAAGAGCTTGCAACCAGAAGTAATGTGTTGTATGGATTCTGGCATCATGTGACATTTTCTGCATGTGTCGTTTGTGAGTGTTGTATCTTTATGTGTTTTCCATAGTTTTTAGTACAGTGGTACCTCAGGTTACAAACGCCCCAGCATACGAAATTTTCAGGATACGACATGAAATTCGAACATATTTTTGCTCCACGATACGAACAAAAACTCACCATACGACGTTACATTAGTTCGCATTTTTCATTTGTTTTTCTTACTACAGTTATTTTTTT